ATATATATATATATATACATATACGCAATAAGTAGTCACTTCCGTTACACAAACTGGCCGACCTGACTTCCACCAAAAGAAATACACCTAGATTTTTTTTCAGTCTATTAATAAGTTTAGGGGGATGTGCTTTATCAAGTTTTCTAAAGAGGGGAAGCGATTTCGCTTGTTTATTTTTAATATATATAATATATAACTGCAGTCATATTCTCTACCAATTCACTTCCGGTAAATGTGTAATATCTCTCTCGTTGTCACTTCCGGCGATGTTGCCACTACCTTTACTACTAACATTTGGGTAAATGCATTAACGTTTTACTCTATATTTTATAGTGAGTGTCATAATTAATTATTTTGGTGTCAACGAACATATCGCAAGGTAAGTGTAGGTACATGGGTTCAAGATGTACTGAGTCGATTATTGTATGGGATACTAATGTGAAGTGCATTTTCTAAGTTGCACATAATGATAAATTAAAAAAACGTTTCACCAAAATTTTTTTCACGTTTATAGGACTGTGTTCTACTGATTGGCCCACATTTCGTTATCATAACTGCAGTAGTGCTGTAGTCTATGTTTTGCAATGATTATGGTAAATTTGATATATCGCCATCCCCTAATCCAAACGGCTTTTGCATTGTAGAATTTTGTATGATATTATTATTTCTGCTTGGCTTTGTATTTATTAAGTTTTGTCCTATAATTGGATTTTTTTTCTGTTTGGGCATATATATTATTAATTGTTCTTTTTATTTATTATATTTTTCTCCATTTATGGCACTGTTCAGGCGTGCGGCAACAGCGACGGTCATTGGCACACCATGGGGGTAAGTTCTATATTTCATAATTTATAGGCATGTGTTTAGATTTTGTTTATGTTGTTTATAGTTTTTATATACTTAAGGACGTTTTTTTAGGTTAGAGTCGGATAGTGTAGTCGCTACATCACCTTTTATGCGCTTCATTCTGCGGTATTGTTCTAGCGTAGGGCATGATTCCAATATATGGGCATTGTTAGTGTATGATTATTATTATCATTACCATTGTCATTATCATGATCATCATCATGATGATTATCATACCATTATCATTGTCATTATTATCGTCATCGTCATGATCATTATCATCATTATCGTCATCATCATTATCATCATCCTCATCGTGATCGTTGTCGTGGAACATGATCATTATCATTATATTTTAATTTTGTCATATTTTTCTCCGTTAATAGCCCTGTTCCGGCGTGTGTTGACAGCGACTGTCATTGGAACACCGTGGAGTGGAGGTAAGTTCTACATTTGTTCTTTTTATTTTATTTAAAAGGTTTTATTTTTAAGTGACCGCAGCTGCTTTACGAACTCAACTTAACTTAAACTTCAGACCTAGAAGGACCAATAAAAGCTATAGCATATCCTGTTTAACACATCAAGGTTTCATACTATGATGCACGTGGGTAAGTCAAATTATGCCATTCGTTTTGCAGCTACCTATGTGTTGAAGATCTAGGTGCGTATCTACCAAATGTATATCAATCTACTTACTACCGCATAAGGTCTGTCGACTGTAGGTGCACAACATTAATTGTACTTAACTAGTAATAAAACAAACATTGTGGAAGAATAAAATAAAAATGTATTCTATTACGTAAAATAAAGGTAACATTTCTTGTAGTTTATAGTCCTTTTTTAGTTTTAATCAAATGTTGTAGCTTTGATTTGGTTACAATGACGCTTCTGTTTATTCCATTTCTTTCAAGAAATTCCTTTATGTCGTTCCCTGCTGGATAGGTACCTTTATTAATGTAGACACTGAACTCTTTTTTTAATAAATGAAGTTCCCGATTAGACCAATCTGGAAATTTAAATGTAGTAGTTAGCAAATTATGCTAATACTTACAGGTTCTCTGTCCACTTCTCTTTGGAACTTCAGCTACACTATCAGCGTCAATTAAATCTGAAAGCGATACCTATGTATATTTGGTTTCTTACTTCATAATCGAAAGTACCTGATGGTCTGTCCTGTACTATCCGAGATGTTTTTGGTGACGCATGGATCGGTAAATCTGAAAAAAAAATGTGTTTGGCTTAGTTTAATAGATATTTATGTATCAAGTACGCAAAATACCGTTTGAGCGAACAAATCGGTATTAAAGACGAGGCGACAGAGGAGCCGAGTCTATAATGAGATAAGTGCGCTAAAACGTTTTGCGTACGTGGTACATACAAAATTTTTTGGTAAAAGCTCTAAAAAAATAGTCTAAACTCTACCTATATGTTCTATCTGAAGTTATCACACTTTAAGTAGGCCGTTAAAGATTTATTTTGCGGACTCAAATGGATACGGAAAGTAACAATTTTGGAGAGCGTGTACCAAAAATTTATTTAGGTACCTACCTGATGGTATTTGCGGTACTGTCCGAGACCTTTCATTAGCTGCAACAGTTATATCTGAAAACGATATCAATTACATTTAAATTTCAATAAATGCTAGTTGGCAATGGTACCTGATGATAATTCCTCTTGGGGAGAGGAACCTAAAAGTATTAAATGTATAGATAAGTATTGTTTTAAATTAAGGGCCAGTTGTATAACGTCTGGTTGAACTTCCGGTTGAAATCAACCTGCGGTTGAACGTCAGTGATTGGATAAAATGTCAGCCATGATGAAAATAAGGCCCATGATTGACGTTCAACCGCAGGTTGATTTCCACCGGAGGTTCAAACTGACATTATACAACCGGCCATAAGAGAAATCCATTCCGCTACTACTGAAATAAAAATAACCGATCCAAAAAGCCGAAATATCCATCTATCAATACATTTATTCGCCAAATAAATTCCTTAGTTACGATTGTGCTAATGATGGCTTTATTGGTAGAATAGGTTATAGGTGATGGATATCTCGGCTCTTTAAAGAAATAGCATTTCTACTTACAGGGACTTCGATTTTCTCGATCATTCACATCTGAAAGTTCATAATATAGGTAAGTAAATGAAGGTTGTGGAAACAAAAAATAATACCATTAAATCCTGTATTTACAATCTCAATAGATCTTTCGTTTGCATAAAATCCTGGAGGCTCCTCACTTCTTTTATTTATTGTGCCTATAAATATTTTAATGTTTCACAGTAACTGAAATCTACCTAAATTTACCGTCAATTTTGTCTTCCTCCGCATATTCTAGGTTAAAATCTATAATTATCTCTTCCAACGACTTTCCTTTATATTCGATTGGCATAGATCCTTTCTCCATCATCATCAACAATTTTGACACCTTTGCAGTTTGGTAAATGTCAACCGGTAATCTAATACATTTAAAAAAGGTAAGTAGATGATATCTGATGTTTCAGTCGTTGCTTGTTACTTACTCATAAAACTCATCGTGAGTCTTTTGAGTATGCCCCATGAAATTTGCAAACTGTTTTGCCTCTTCTGGTTTTAAACTTAAAATTTGGGTTACAGTGGCAATCTGTTTCCGCAGGTTGTTACTTGAAATAGCTTTAGGGTTTTCAATTTGAATTTTTTTGCACAATGCCCGAATTGCCACATCACCTTTTCCCCATTTAATCGTACTGTCGGGCATGGCAAACACATAGTCATTGTTAGAGTCTAATATGTACTTGTTTCTCTCCGCTAATAAAACATTAATCATGTTTTGCAGTTCTTCAGGTATAAGTATGACAACAGCCCTCGAACCTTTACCGCTGTTGAGTACTCTCTTGTATTTTTGGGTCAATGATCTTTCCACATCCGTAAGTACATGGTCGAAATCTGTGTAGTTGCTCTTTTTATCTGATTTGTAGTCGCTGATCTTAAGATATTGAACGTCACCTATTCGGCGACGATTAAACAAAATTAGTAACGATAAGACACATTGTATTAATAATTTAAATGCGCGTTTATTCTCTTTTAAAAGTAGCTGGGATACGGAGTCATTTGCCAACTTAGTCACTTCGTCTCTAAACTTTTTCACGTCGCTCACCAATGGTAGTAATAGCGGCTTTTTCCAACGCTTTTCTTGAAGATCTTTATTAGCTAAAGACGAAATTTCTATGGTCCATCGCGATTCAACCAGTTTCTTAAAATTCTTAATATTCGTAAGCCAAACCTGGGCATCTTCCGCCGATTTACATCTGAAACCTTTACTTTGTTTTAATACCAGGTGTGTAAGTTCATCGCATGCTAATTTTAATGAGGTTCCTAGATGCATAGCCAAACTTGGAGTTTGAAATGACTTCTTTTCGTGGTCAAAACCACTAA